CTTGCAACATAGTTTTTATTTATCTTACCCAACAAAATGAGTCTAGCCCCCCACCCCCCTCTACACTCGTACTGGTTGGTCCCTATCAACTTAATAGGTCACTGTAAATTCATTTGTTTCCACGGAGGGTTAATTTCTTAATTTCACGTAGCAAACCAATGGACAAGTAGTTTTTATTCAGTATAGGTGTCCACGAAAACCGTGAAGATGAAAACACCGCGATCATTACAAAGTTTACAGTACGTAGACCCGGTGTGATCGCTAGCGCGTGCTATTAATAACCACTTGACTTGGTGTACATTAAAGGTCGATGGCATATGTTCACAGATAATAAGACAGAAATATGTCGAGGCCCATTTAATTGGAGGGGAGTAGTTAATCAACTGTCAGCCTCGATAAAGATATACATGTATCCCATGGTATACATGGATTAGTTTATGTCCATGCACATTTATACAAGTACGATACAAGTATGGAACAGTCAACAACTTCTTCAGAGCTTTCAAACGTTCCGGTAAAATTCATTTAGGACAAGTAAGTCAATGACCACACATGTAGGAACCAGATAAATGTATAGGAACCAGACATTTTGTACCTTTTTACGTATCGTACTTGTGTGTTCCCCAGCAATCAGCCTGTAGGCAACTTGAAACTTTGGTTCAGTGCATAGATACATGTAGATAGTGTGATGTGAAACATCCAATTACAATGACTGCCTTGTCCGGTTTTTCTTCTTGTGTTAAACCAATGACCCTGAAGATGACCGGGTTCCGATTATAGGCTGCAAAAGGGGTTGCCACTACGCGTGTAGGTAGGCCTTCAACGCATTTGGGTACGTTAAACTTTGTAGAATGAATACTAGTATTCGTGGTTGGAACACTGACGTTGCCCCCTTTTGCACCCTCGTTCGGCAAAATTACCTTGTCTAACCACTGAGCATGTCTCAGTCTATGTCATCTAGGTTCAGCATCTCAGCATCTCGTGTATTGATACAAACAGAACGTATTGCATGTTTTTAAACTTTTTCTCGTGAAATATCATAACTTTTATTCTCTATCAATCAGATAGTGGACTTTTGTACGCGATGCGATCTATGGGCTAGTCAATAATTGCATGGTGACATAAAATCTTCACCCCCTAAATGTATGTGTAGATGACCCTGATGACGCCCATTCATGAACGACGTCACATCAAGGTGTGTCGCCTACGCCTATATCCAACGTTTGCGGGGTCGTTTTCTTGTCTCGTCAGGCAGTTCGGACGTGCACACGAGACGACGCGCGTCCACAACGCGCGCTCCTTCTGAGCGTCAGTCGGCCGCTGAGAGAGTACGCCTCAGCTCGGCACACCGTGTCTAACTGATCAGAGTTTCAATGTTGTGCGACCGATTTCGTCCACGCTTGAATAAAGGCCGGGAGCACTGTTAGGTAGTTCAAACGTATACAAGAGCCGGAGCGCGTTTAAACCGACTATCTGAGTATCAGACGATATTTCGACAGTTCTCCTCGGCACACAGTCCTCTTCTGACCAGCCAGGGATATCCCTGTTTCAAGTTGTGCGACGCAAGTTGGCTACTTTTCCGACGAACAGACTATAGATTTTGACGTGCAACATGAAGGTCGCCCTAGGGCTCGTCAGCGCCATTCTTGCGGCTAATTTGTACATAGGTGAGTGAGCCCTCAATCTCTCTTTGTTCATTGTACCTTATGCTTACTTGTCGTCCGTTGTGCAGAGCATCGAATTAGGAGGGCCTGCAACCCTTTTTTCGTAAGGCGTAATCAGGCCGTTTTAGCCTTCGTAATCCGTAGGCGGCCGTCCAAAATCATCGTGATTCGTAATCAGTACATTAGCCGTAACGTGTAATTGGTCGTTTTTATTCTCCGTAAAGCGTAATTAATTACTGTTATGCGACGTAAAAGTAATCCAAGAGATCATAAGAGCGTAGGCTGATTTCAAAATGGTCCCATCCACAACCAATAATGCCGTCGACCAGTCATCATGTCTGCGATTCCAAGAGCTCCCCCACAGTATACTGACAGTGGTACTGTCCAATGAACTCGTACCCAGAGCATTGTGCTCCAAAGCAACGCAAGTCATCAAATGTTGATGAGAACCAACGCCGTACGATCGTCGTACGAACTGTGGATATTCCTAGAATAGTTGTGCATGTGTCGTGCAAAACTCAACTCTTTTGTTACGGCAACGTCTGTCTTAGAGCCATGTCACAGCCTACTTGAAAATTCTATGGCATCACAATCGTGCGACGACCTACGACGCTTGTGGACGTTTGTCTGTAAGAAAAATATACATCTGTGTGTAAAGAATGTTTTAAGGTGTGGACGACATGGGAGCGGCCATGGACCTATACCATTATTACGTCACAGTTTGTTTACCTGTTCTCAAGAACATTCTAGAACGGTCAGTTAAAGAATAAAGATCATTTCAAAGTTTTCAAAGTAAGGAATGTCTGATTTTTTGCTGCGTCTAGTTTTGTTGACACAGCATTACATGCCGCGTGGGTGATTTAGTTGTGACATTAGACGAAAGTAGTACTGTATTAAAAGCCTTATATTAGGCTAACGCTACACAAACACACACCGTGCTACGCACCCCTGTACAATATAAACGTCGATTGACCGTCATTCATTGCGGTAAGCAAACTGTGACGTAATAATGGTATAGGTCCATTGATATATAGGGTGCGGCCGTCTATTATCCCAGATTTCGCCTCTCCCTTTTGTGCATAGCCCTTATTTATGGAGGCAGCAACAAATGTAGTCATTTAAGCGACGGTCACAACCCGCCGTACGTGCTTTTTGTCCGTACGTTTTTTGGGAGGCTACGTCTGCTACGTTTTTTCTGAAAACGTAGGGAAGGAGTGGCGTCGACGCACGTCACTCGCACGTCAATCGCACGGTTGCGCAAGGTGTAAGAGTGTGGTCTGCACGTTACGTCTGGCCGTGAGCGGTTGCGTGGATTGTACGTTGCGCAAGTGGTAAGTGAGTTGTACGTGCTTACAACGTACGATCTCTGTGCGATTGCAACTTTACCGTAAGGAGGCCGTACTCACACGTGCTTCTTCCGCACGGCACGTACGGGACACGCACGTCGCTCGTACTCGCACGCACGGGTGGTGAATCCGCAGACCGCACGTAGAAAAAGTTTTACATGCACTTAAAGTTCTACGGCGTGTCTGCGTGCTCCCAAATCCGTAGGATTCCGTACGGAGGTGGTACTCACCACGCACGGATGCCCTACGTTTGCCCACGTTTTTGCACGTAGACAGCACGCAGAAGCACGTACGTCGAGTTTTGACCGTCGCTTTAGGCAAGCTCCTTGATTTAGGTTACATGTATATTTTTTCGGGCAGATCCCACGTACTATTGTGTAAAAAGCTATCATTAAGATATACATATGAGGCGCCCCTTTTCCACTAGAGGCTGTGGACAATTTGACAGATCTCTCAACGAATTCTATACAATTCGATACGAATTCTATAAAGAACTACTATTAATCATTTCACGTGTTGTGCGTTTTGTTGTCTTTTATATTCAAATCTGGAAATTTGACAGATCGCTCAACAAATCACAAAGAACTCATTATTTCACGTTTTGTTGCCCTTTAAACACAGACTATGCTTCATATTCCAATCGTAAAATTAATTGGCAAGGTTCACACATATCAGTGATCGCCGTCTAGCGAAAACGGGGACAGGGCCAAGTTAGGACTTGTTTGTTTGTTTGTTTGTTTATTTGTTTATTTAACCAGAGAACATATCGCCCTGGAGGGCGGTTTTCAATGCACCCGGGGGGGGGGGGCAAGTCCCCAAACACAATAAAAGAATTACAATATAATACAACATTAAGTAATCGCTAAAGAAACTTATGTAGAATCAAGCAAATTAAAAGAAGCACGAATGTAAGTAACATAAGAATAAGCTGGCCAAAAATAGGCATACATCAAATAATATCAATTAAAATTAATCACATCAATCAAATAAATAATAAGTGAAATAAATCAAATAAATAATAAGTGAAATAATGAAATTTGCATATCAATGTACAATTGGCAGGCAGTCTTGTGTTTGAAGAGAAAGGCCGTGTTTAAGTGAAGTCACCCAAACCGCGATTCGGGTAACTCACATTCCTTACATCTGGTCCACGTGCCACACACTCCTATGATACCGTGTCCGATCACAATTCGCTTGAGCTACATTTATTGCTGTTTGATGATAACACGCAAAGTGGCGTGTTATTAATGTCAGAGGTCAACGGCCTGCTTGCTGATGCCCCCCTCCCAGCGTATCTCCGCCGAATGCCGACGTGGTCCCGACAGAGGCGGCGAAGCTCCTCCTAGAACGGACACATTATTTGACCATTACTTCTCTTCAAGTTGCTGCCACGTAAAAGTTGGTATTGCATATAAATAAAGAGATATCACCCAGTAATCCATGACCAGGCGAAGTTACATTGAAATCACATTGCGTTCAGACGCAAATCGCGATGCTGGAAAACCGATTCGAAACCACCTCTAGAAGTGGCTTGGGATCGAGGCGCTTTCAATGTGATTTCGGAGCGTTCAGATGGAGCCACTTGAAACCGGCTTCGGGGTAAACCACATGTAAAGCGCCTTGGGTGACTTCACTTAAACACGGCCTAAGATTGTACTGACCGATTTCGGGTGAGATGGTAAGTTGTTCCAAAGAATTGAATATCGGTTAGAAAGACGACTTACAATAATTAGAATCAAACAAAACTTGAATACATTGAGAAGACAACATACCATATCGCCCACCCCGAAAATAAACACTGCTAAATATGCTAGGGACGTTAACATTTACAGTAACTGTTACATTTCTTCGACTGTACGTAGAGGGAATGATGACTTTTCATTCATGTCAATATAGGAGTAAACGATAACGGGTATATCCTTTTAGATGGCAATATCTGTCCTTTGATTTCTGAAATTTAAATTGATTGAATTGAAATTTAATCAGATAAATGTATCTGCCTTTTACAGCTGCTTCGCAGACGATCCCACCTGCATTAGGTAGGTGCCTCAATACTTCATAATTTTATAACCTTAATGTGTAGCGAAAAGGCTGATTAGAAATCATCTAAAAACTATTGATAGAACTACTAGAGTTCCACGATCTCATGCCTTCGTCAAATGATGTTAAACTTTACGACTGACAAATTATGCATGTTTCACGTTGATTATGGAAATAAGATCCTCACTTGTATTTATATCCTTTGATACCATTGATGGCTATGATAACATTTACTCATAAATTACGCAAAGAAGGTTCGATTTGAGTAAGTTATATTTAATGACGATCGCCTTCATTTAACTTTCAAATGCCAAGGTATGAAATTCTTGCCATGCAGTCACCACTACTGCATTACATCATTTTCTCATTATTTATGCATGTTTATATCATGAGATATCAAAACCGCTTGATTGTGTAGAGGGGATCCCCAAATTGTGTAAAGGGGAAATATTGACCTACATGTACGAGGGTTGTTTAAAAAGTTTTCGGCCTCAAGTGGAAGAAAGAGGTGAAGCTCCCATTCTGGGGTATAGCTGTATACTATGACGTCTTACATCACTGCACTCAGAAATGCAACTATTAATTAATTAGCACGTGGCTCCCCGTGAAAGACATGCAGGTGAGAGCAAAATCACAAAATAGCCGCAACAGAAGCTCGTGCTGTGATCAAGTATATCGATAACAAGAGTTCCACGATCTCATACCTTCGCCAAATGATGCTAACTCTTCCGGTTGACGAATTATACAATCTTAAAAATTAATTTTGCAAATAAGAACCTCATTTGCATGTATTATATCAGTTTGATTATATTCTCGACCCAATAACAGCCTTATCTTAACAAAAAAAGGCTATTGTAGCACTTCCTCATGAATTATGCAAATTATACCATTTTCTCATAATTGATGCGTGTTTATATCACTTCCTTTTAAATTATGCAAATTAGGTCATGAATAAATTATGTTTATTGATGTTTACCTTCACGTAACTTCCAAATGTGGCAAGTATGAAATTCTCATCAGTTACAATGAAATTATAACAATTTACCATTAATTATGCAAATTACGTCTTTATTTACATAATCTATATCCTCGTGTTTATCTCGTTCTCAGTTACATGTGTTTCATAGTCCTATCATCGAACGAAGCAGATTTATAGAATATCCTCATTTATTATACAAATTGGCTCCTGATTTGCATACCTGTCATCTGATTATGTCAAGCATCACTTTAGCTACCTACAAATCAATCCGTTAACCCGTTCTTGAGTTATCCTCCTTCGAAGATTTCGTGCATTGTTAGAAGGGGCTATGTTGATTTTTCAACATAGTTGATTATGCAGATTTTTCAACTTCTTGGTCTCCTTAATGGTAATCTGCCTGTTAAAATCATTAACATCTATCCAGTGAAAGAAGGAGTTAAACTGACAGTCACTTTGCATAGTCTCCCACACTATAGTGACTTCAGAGCCTCCTCGACGAAGGCGTCCTTTGCGTGTTCACGGTCTATAAGCTGCACAGTCCTAAAATCAAAAGGTAAATCAGACTTCAGAGACCTTAGACCTACATGTACATGAAATGTGTAAATTTTGTGTGATGCTGACTGTGTCCAAATCTATCGTACCTCTTTCTTTTCAGCCACCACGTGCCCTCATCCAGTAGACTTAGTCTTCCTTGTAGACAGCTCGGAGAGTTTCAGGACAAGCGGTTTCGATGATGCAAAGCTGTTTCTTCAGAATGTAGTCAACTATTTTACTCTGGGAGAAAACGACACAAGGGTCGGTGTTGTGACGTTCAGCAACGCCGACAAGCAGGTTACTTGGGTTAGGCTCAACGAAAATTACACCAGAGTTGAACTCTTGGAAGAAATTGGCAACATTCCCTACGACAGAGGCAGTACCTACACAGGACTTGGTCTCGATTACGTGCGCAACAATTCCTTCCTCGAAGTAAACGGCCGGCGGAGTAGTACTCTTGACTTTTTGGTGGTATTAACCGACGATGTACCTGAGGACGACGTCATCGTTCCCGCTCAACTGATACGCGATATGGGCATCACCGTGTTTGTTGTGGGCGTTGGCGAGGAAAGCGACATTAGTCAAGCTACTCTAGAGACTATTGCTGGAGATCCGAGCAGGGTGTTCAGACTGACGGACCATGGTGAGCTTGCGGAGAGCGTGCGAGCCAGAGCTATAGGAGGGAACATTTGCAACGGTAGGTACTATCTCTTTTCCATTTCTTTCTCTTGTACAGTTGGTTTAGAATGACTACGAAAGATGGGCAACATGGGCATCACCGTGTTTGTTGTGGGCGTTGGCGAGGAAAGCGACATTCATCAAGGTACTCTAGAAACTATTGCTGGAGATCCGAGCAGGGTTTTCCCGACTGGCGGATCATGGTGAGTTCGCACCCCACATCCATAAGGGCAAAGGTCAGTAATAGCGCAGGCACAGAGGGCCCAGTTCTTCTAGAGGTAGCAATGTAATGTAGAGTGTAAAAAGATCTTTTTCTAGGGAAATGTTGTTGTTTTGGACTTGGATGTTATAGGTAAGGGTTGTAGTATTTTCATTTTGGTGAAAAAAACAGACTTGCAGCCATTTTTGTGTTGTCTGGCTGGCTGAAGAAGATAAAGGTTTACATGCGGTCATCAGCGTCCAGAGAGGTCAGGGGTCACTTCTCAATGTTCGGGTAGAATTCTCGCATGGTTTAGGTGCGTAGGATTTTTTCATTTTTTGGGAATGGAGACTTGAGAGGTTGGGGGCCTACCCTGCCAATGCATGTTCTTCAAGGTCTCAGGTATATGAATTTTGACCACTTTGTTTTAACATAATTCCCATATATTAACATAGGAAAGCCCTATTACTGTGCTGTGTCCATAAGGGAGGCGATCTGTGACGGTGGGTACTACGCCTATACCAGTCCCTATAGATGTCCTGTACCTGTCGTTCAATACTGTCACACCCCACGATTGCCTGTGCACACTTTTGTATTTATTTATTTCTATTTATTTAATTTCATTTATCTATTTGAACTTAACCAAACAAAAACAGTAAAATGAAGTCACATGCATACACAAGTGGTCAAAGCAAACACAGTATATTGTGTTATGAACAATTTAATCTGTTCTCCAACTCAAAATTTGACTCACCAGAAATTTTCGACTGAATCACCCAGTCTTCCTCAGCTATTAGTCGAAAATTTCTGGTGAGTCAAATTTTGAGAACAGTTTCACGGCGGTCGGTTGCTAGGCTAAAAGTCGCATTACTAGGGAGGTATCGGGTTACAGAACGTGTTCGAACGTGGCCGTGCGGGAGTCCCAGGCCGGCCCGGGGGCAACGGGTAAAATTTGAAAATAAACAAAAGTAATTGGAGAGTAAAATACTCGTCAAAATAAAATGTAATAAGTGATTTTGTTTACCTCAAATGTTATTCTTGCACTGCCTTTGCTCCACTTTGTGTACATTTGCTTCCATATGAGATCAATTTCGGATTTCAATAAAGGGTTCACGAGAACCAAACAACTGATTTTAAGAGGCCCCGAAAATTAAAAATAAGGTTAGATTTTTTGATTTTTAGAAATATTACAGTAAATTTAAACTTTCTGTCTTAGGATTTTTTTATTTTTTAACTAAAACTCGACTTACGGTCAAAAGAAGAGCTAAAAACGCAGTGTTTTAACTTTAAATACCGATAATTCATAATCGCGGCCATATTTAAAAAATCCCTAAGACAGAAATCTGCGGAAATCGTTCCTCTTCCAAACAAGCCCTCAATGAGGTAATTTGAGCGATTTTTGGGAATGGTTAAAATACCATGTTTGCACGCATGCTGTGCCACTTGGATATAGGGACCTGGATTTTATAACAGCGTCAACAAGAATTCTGACCTTCAAGGTCACCCAGGATGACGGCAGTAGCTTCGTTACATGTTACATATCCACAATAAAATCACGGCATAGATGTAATGTTTTGAAAACGGTTCATAGTTGTGGAAAGGTGGATTTTTCCTGTTCCGTGGTTCCCAAGTAAAAAAGGGCTTGAAGTAGCCGGTTGTAGCGGCTTTACTGTAAATGACCGCGGGTAACCCCAGATCGAACGCCGGCTCTATTCGAATGACGTCATATCGAACAAGATTCGCGGGTTCGGGGGATTCGATCTCCATAGTAGCGGAGTGGGACTTTTAGCCCAAATCTGACCATCGTGTTTAAGCTTTTCATAATGTAATTTACCAACTCAGATGAACTTTCATACAGTATATTGTGATTTTATATTAATAAATGAGAGAGAATAATGTTCCTATCTTTCTTTCTTTCCATTGCAGCGGCTGAGTGTCCGGCGCTGACGGCACCAACTAACGGAGCTCTCAGTACCCCAGCGACCTCCTACCTGACCGTGGTCACCTTCACCTGTAACCCGGGATACGTACTGACCGGCGCTGTTAACGCGATGTGTCAAGCCAACATGACATGGAGTAACACTGTTCCAACATGTCCACGTAAGACGACTTGCAAGTTGACATATGCTAGCAATGTCTATAGCGTGCAGACATTCACCAGATAGTAATACATGTCTGTATTACTATCTGGTGAATGTCTGCACATACAGATCTGAGAAAACTGTGTGAACTTTACATGTACGTATTTAAAAGATTATAAACACTGGCATGTAAAGAAATATGTCATTTTGTACCCCTTCAGTACAAAATAGATCAACATATAATAATCATTTTGGCCAGGCAATGTCCGACTTTGACTGCCCTGATAACGGGGTGCTCAGTACCACAGTGATGACCTAAGAGACCGCGGTAACCTTCACCTGTAGCAAAAGATACTTACTGACCGGCGCTGCTGATCTTATGTTAAGGTTTAACAGAGAGTGTTTTTGCTTTACGTTGTAGCGGTCCAATGCCCGGCTCGGGCGGCCCCAGCTAACGGAGCGGTGAGTCCTACCGGAGCGGTCTCCTACCAGACCGTGGTCACCTTCACCTGTGACTCGGGCTACACACTGAACGGCGCTGCTACTCCGACGTGCCAAGCTGACGGAACGTGGAGTAGTCCTGTTCCAACATGCCAAGGTAAGGCGTCCTGCAAGTTGATATATGCTAAATTTAGTAGGTGGTCATACATGCCAAGTTAAAATAACAGGTCCGGAAGTGTCCCAACTTTTAAAGGTATCGGCATATTCAGTATCGGATGCGGGATCTAGCTTGAAAGTGGTTCTTTACAAAAATTGCACATTCGAGTGACATTCATGAGCTGTGAGGGTTGAAAAAAAATAACGAAATGCTTTCTTTCCTCATTGCAGTGACCACATTTTCCACTTTAATGGCCCGAGCTCATGGCATAGTCTAACTACAGTCATGTTTGCGTTACATTTGACGGACTTAGATAACGCAACGCTGTCGCAACGCAGCGATAACGCTGACGCAACGCAGCGGCAACGCTGTCGCAACGCGATAACGCAACTTGCGGCAATTGACCCCCGGCCGCACGAATGCGTTACAGTGTTATTTAACCTGCTACCGAGTGCGCCATCGCGCTATTGACGCAACTATAATGAGCAGGATAGGGTTTCATGTTTGTTTGTCTACTTTGTCATTTAAATTTAGAAACAATACTGGGTGTTATGGCCTCCTTTTAGCGGTCATAGTCATGCATAAGCGTTAGAATTGGATGGCAGGAATTAGTTTGAGCACGTCCTTGGTTTGAGCATGGATGTAAAAAAATGGTTTGAGGCATTTCCAATGAGGTTATTCATCAGCCTGTCTAAACATGTAACGCCCCAAAAATACGTTAGATATAGTAACAATAATTTCAACTACACTTCACCCTAACATGTCGCAAACAAAATATAGCAACTCCTCCTCCGCTAGTTTTCCACACCGCAAGGTCAGACAATATTTGGTGTTGCCCCGGCGGCCCGGAATCTTACTTGTGCAGTCAAAAGCGTAATGAGCCGGCGCATGTTGTCGATGATTTTTTTTAAACCATAGAACGCATAAAGACTTATATAACGCATAATTCAGCAGGTTGAACCAAAATTGAATTGTCAAAAGCTTAGGATATATCCCGCCAGCGAAATGGATCTTGTAAATGAGCTGTCTTGTTTACCGTCGGTAAGCTCTGGGGTACTTTGTCGAATCGCTACCAGTCTGTAGAGAGTGCGCGGAGAGAACTGTTTGTGTGTGTATTCGGCTGACGAAATGATCTTTGTTTTACATTCGTTTCTTTTCGGCTTGTCGGCAGCGAATGAGTGTGTTTGGTATGCTCACGAGATTTGCCGATCTTCACCAGCAATTTTCTAAGGGGAGGAAAGATCACGATTATGGTAATGGTAAACATCACATGATTGACTGCAGTCCCTTGCACTTGGCACAAAATCAACAACTTGTTGGAAAACAAGAAATAAAATAAAATTTTTGATCATAGTAATTTTTTGAAATTTTGAATTCGTGTATGTAACCATGTAGTTAGAAGGAACCTCTCTGGTGTAACACAGGAGATCTTTTCTCCTTAGGGTCAGACAGCTTGGCGCGACAGACCTGTCAACATTGATTGATGACGCCCGCCCGACACAACCTAGATCAAAGGCGGCGGCGGCCAGTTTGAATGTAGCAAACTCGTTTCACCAGAAATTCTCACGCTGGTGGATTCACAACATCACGCAGATAAAGAATCCAGAGCTGTATCATGAATCTGACCAGATCGTCTGTATTTCTGCTATGCATGCTGAGATTTCACGCTGTACACGCATATTCAATGCATTCCTTTCTTTTGACAAAATATGACGGCGCGGAGTTGCAGCGGCTCTGCGTACATATTTATAAGATGGCGGGTAACGTTACTTGTCATATGACTCCTTGATTGTGAGTTTCAGCGACATTTTTCTACACGTGACTTTTCTTCGTTGAATGGGCTAAGCATTTCTGGGATAAGGTCGCATAATGTGTATTGTAAACGAAACAGATAATAGGCTATTCAGCCAACAATGAACAAAAGGTGTGAAATAAACACTAATCCATTCGCCCATCCGTGCCACTACGATGTTGTTAATTAACTATTTTGCAAATGAAAGCGCCAAATTTCACGATCCAATCTCTAAATAACCCAACAGTTCAGTCAATAAACGAAATGGCGAAGCTGTATCAGTCCCGCCCCTGACAAAATACTTCTCTTTTTTGCAATATTTAAATGTTCTTTTGATGTGTTTTCAGGTTCATCCTCTAGTCTTTGATTGAGTTACGAGACTATGCTGCGTGAAACACGTGCGGACTTTGCAGCATCAACAGGATTACATTCAAGTTTTTTCTTTAGTTTTGACGTTCGGTTATTGACTAAAAAGTTCCGTTTGGTTTTGACGTTGAACTTCGTTTGTTGACTAGAAAGTTCTTTTTCTTTCGTTTTTACGTTCGGTGTTTTTCTTTCATGTTTTCCGCTTTATTTTGACGTTTGGTTGTTGACTACAGAGTTTTTTCTTTCGTGTTGACGTTACGTCGTTGACTACGTTTTTTTATCGTTTGAAGTAGATTGAAGTTCCCCAGTTTAGACGTTCGTTTGTTGACGTCTGTTGACTCAGTTTGATATGTTATTATTACGTTTTGGTCTTCTCAATTCCATTGAAGTTTTTTCTAACCACACTTTACTAACTGATTTCGTACAACTAATAACTCATATCAAGGACATTATGTCCTTGCTCATATCATTAAAGCTAATACTAATATGTATCAGTTCATGGATATTTTAGGATACGTACATAGTTAATGTGATTGACGAGTAAGTGCTATTATATTTTATCAAAGAAAACGAGGGAATTGTTGGGAAATGTTTTTAAAGATTTGCAACGGGACGATAAGATATTGAGGAATATGGTAACTGTTTACTCACCATAGACAATACCAAAAGGACGATCACTAAAGTAAACGATGGTCTAACTACATTATACCGGTAGTGTGACTTTGTCTGCTGGAAGGTTGTCCAACTTGGCAAAAGATGTCAGTTCAAGACATATGGCGCACGTTTGTTCGACGTATAATCTTGTATCACATTTTCAGCTAAGGGTGAGGTGTATGGTGTTTGATGTTCAAACAAAAATATTGACACATGAACATGTGAAGAAAACGCCGTTAAACAGTAGTTTGTTGGGAAATCAATAGTTCCGTGGTGTTTTCTAAAGCCGTCACACTTAAGATTGTTGGAAAAGCTTTCTGTAATATGTCAGAGTGTATAACATTACAGACAGCGGGTAAGTTGTAGAACGTTTGAAAATAACGTACGATCTGAAATAATGATAACGCAGATTTGATACAATGCAATGGGAGCGTCTATTGAATTGCCTTTCATCGGAAAATCGAGAGTTCCGTATCATTTTTGAAAACTGAGAACACGACAGATCCCTATAAATGCATATTGTTATACAAGAAATATAACATCCTAGTATATAGAAAGAAAAGAAAGAGTATTTTGTGGAGGAAAAAAATGACGTCTATATAAAAAGATTGGCAGCGCAGTTGAATTGACGTCCTGATAGATTTGTATTCCAAATGGTCTCGTATTGGAAAATTTATGGTTTCGTGTTGCTTACTAAAGTTCACAACATTGTAGGGGGATGTAAAACTTGTTGTACCATCAATAGATAAACAGAATTTTAGTTTTATATTTCACGCTAAGGGTGAGTTGCAAAGCGTTTAAAATTTCCGTCCAAACTGAAGCATTCGCAGCGCGGGTTTAGTAGAACACGTAAGGAAACGTTCGTCTTCAATAGACATTTCAATAGTTCCGTGTTGTTTTATTAAACCGAGACCATTTTAGGACTTTTCAAGAAGCCTTCTTTGATATGGCAATAATAGTACTCTAGTAAATCGTTTAAAACGGATGGTGTGGAGGATTTTAAAAAAGACTAGAAGTAGGAAGATTCACATGCATGCAGCGCAATGGAAAGGGCAATGGGCCGGAACACGTTCCCTGAATGAACGGTCTCATACTGGAAAGTTGATGGGTCCGTGTGTTTTCTGAAGTTAAGAATACAGCTGGCAGTAGCAAAAAACATATTCTACTATCGAAAGATAAACATGATTCTAGTACGATAAAATACGGGGGTATTGTAGAGCGTTTGAAAATATAGCCAGAAGAAAAATATTGACAGCTCTGGTTTATAGAACACGTACTGAAAATGTCGACGTCTGTTGACGTCGACATTTCTTCTTCGCAAAAGTGATGGTTCCGTGTTGATTTCTAAAGGCAGGAACAGCGGTTCCTCAGACCCTCGAAAGAAGCATTCTGTAATATGGCATGGTGTTGTCGTATATAATGATAGACAACGTGTGACTGGTAATGCGTCTGTAAATGATGTCGAACCGGAATATTGACAGTGCGGGTTTCATTCACAGCATGAAAACATCCATTGACCTGCCTTTTGTTTGAAAATTGATGGTTTCGTGTTGTTTTCTTAAGCTGAGAACACTGTGGACCCCTCAAAAACCTTGGTCTAGCATGACAAGATATATAGCATTCTAGTAAATCGTTGTTAAACGGATGGTGTGTGGAGGATTTGAAAAGAAAAGACTAGAAATAGGAAGCTTTACATGTATATCCCGCAATGCGAACGGAATGAATACGCGCGCCTAACAGTTTTGTAGGATAAATGGTCTCGCATTGGAAAGTTGATGGTTCCGTGTATTTTTCTGAAGTTAAAGACACATTGATAGAAAATTGGAATTGTTGTAGCATGAAAAGCTATACGAAATTCGTGCATAATAAAGTTGGCTGAAGTTATAGACTGTTTGGAAATAAAATCCGAACATCGGAACAAAAATATTGCCAGCGTGGGTTTCATGGAACGCGTACGAAAACGTGTTGAATAGCCTTTTTTGTAAAAATGAAAGTTCCGTGCTGTTTTCTCAAACCGACAACGCCTTAGGGCCTTACGGAGCTTTCTGTAATATGACATGGTAAGTAGGAAGTTAGTATATTATTATAGACAACGGGTGACTTGTGATGTGCTTGTAAATGATGTCCGAACTGAAATATTGACGGCTGTATCGTATGAATACGCCTATTGAACAGCCTTTTTGAAAAC